TGCCAAAAAGAAATCGTGGCTGAAATGTGGCGCAGGCTAAAAAACTGTAGAAATTTCAAGCGTATTTCTACCAGACAAATTTGGAGAGTAGCTCAATTAGAAGGACGATTACAATGTTATGGAATATAAAAATATTTAGCTGACACTGCCTTTGCGCCTATCACGCCACCATGCTAAAAAAATTTCTCAAAAATTTTCAATCTCTCAGGCTTCCCTCACAATAGAACCTTGGTTTCAAACAAAAAAATAAGGGCATTGTACAAGGTTTCAGTATGGTAGCGCGACCTATATTTGAGAATTGATGACTACTACATTGAAAAATAAATTATAGCTCTTAAATTATTGTCCCTTGCAGAGCTCTCTGCTAATCTGGAAGTTATTTACTTTTTCTATTTCTAGCAATTAACCACATAAATCTTTCATTAGGTATGAGTTTATAGGATATGACTATTCGAATGTGATAAAGTGAAAACTTACATTTTGGTAATGCGAGAGCAGCGACATCGTGTTGAAGACTTCGTTTGCTCCAAAGATATTGCTAGAGGCAGATTCCCTTCTTCAACTTCCGCTAAGGGATTGCTGCAGCCTTCCCTCAGCCTGGTCATTGGTATGTCACCTATATCTGTACCCTGTCCATTCATTGAGAGCTGTAATGAATATCAGGTTGTTCTTTAACTATCGATTCGCTTAAAAGCCATGAGTATTTATGAGTGAAGGAGAGTGTGTAGATTATTAAACTTCTTAAATTGTTTTGCACACTTTTTTTTCTTATTTCAAAATCTCTTGTAGGATTAGGACACTGTGCTATTTCTTTATTAGGACAACTTACCAGAGAACGTCATGTAATTGAGAAAACTTGGCTACTGCGATGTATAATTCATATATCTTCACTGTGGGCTATATCTTCCAAATCTTGTTATTTATATAGTATTAGTACTACTAAGTTATTTTTTGTCCATCATCAAAAATTGAAAACAGATCAGTCGCATCCTGTAAAAGCTCGTTCCAGCTTTTGTATGGCCTATTTTGACAGAGGAATACTCACCAAAAACTTAAGAAGCTACGATTTTTTCAGTCGCTTAGCCAAAGCTGGGGAGTGAGGCGACTTGGAGACAAATTGTAGCAAAAAAAAATCTGCAGCTTTTCCTTCAAAAATTTCTTATTTCAAAAAAAAAGCATAGATATCACTTATTCTGATCCAAATTGTACATTTAAGTGCGGTCTTTTTAACTACTTGAAACAATTAGTTGCCTTTATTCGTTAATAACAGCGAGAGCCAAGCCAATCATCGCATCACCTTTTTGAAAGCATTTGGTTGCGCTTTGGTTAGTTGTAAATTGCCGTTATACGTTGGTTTGATCCTTCAGAATGAGTAAAAATGTCAACTGTGAAAAATGTACTACTGTATTGAAAGTAACAGCGGAAGTCTGCATTACGAAGGCGCCGAATTTATATTAAAGGGAGACATAGAAAGATATCATAAAATAATGACTAATTACTTTCGCGCAATCAGAACCACTCCAGAGAAATTAACAAAGAAATGAAACAAGGCTCCTAGGCTAACGGTCATAGACGGATGCACAAAGAGAACCTTATGAGTAATAAAAAGTGATTCTCAATTCGCGATGCATCACCAAGTAGGTTGCAGGGTTCCCAATATCTTGGAAAACATCCTTTTTCAAAACAAATAACCAATTCTCGTATGCGATCTAAAGTACAGCTGACAATTTCAATAGTGTTTGAATTCAACTTGAATTTAACATGCTGCCTCCAAATATTAGTAAACATTTATGTCAATAGCTGAAGTTAAAGACAACGATGACGACAATCTGAAAAAATAAACGACAGTTTGAGAGAATAGTGAATGGAAGTGATAATAACCGGATCTAGGTGGGCATGAGAGAATGCCTGCTATTTGAGTTGCACTTTATTTGACCAAACTTCTGAAATAGCGTAAGCGGTATTTCCCATTTTCTATCAAACGTATTTCTCTAAAAGTATGGGGTATCTGCGTAGGAAAAAGAGTGAAGTGAGATAAAGTTTGATTCTAACTTGACTATTTGCTCGAGGGCGTTCAAGATTGTAGTTACCTAACTTTAATTATCCAAATGACGTTGTCTAGACGACTGGCCACAAAATGAGTTGACGGATAAGCTGACAGGCTTCTCCCGAACCAACTGCTCCGAACGTCTTCATCTTAACCCCCTATCCACTAAACACTGTTGAAATCCCTCAAGGCCTAGCAGCGCCTATTCCATCTTAACTCAGTTAAAGAAGGTACGCAGCGTTTTAGCTCTTTTAAAGGACGCTTAAGCAAAATATCCCATAACGTATGATAGTGCCAGTTTGTATAAGTAATGTTAATAGTGTCAATCTTACAGGGGTATCGATAGGCGCGTTCTTCAGCTGTCAATATATGTAGTTTGCGTTGAACTTTGAGTTTTCAAGTTGTGATTGTGTGGTAACCCTCCAACGAGAAGGTATCTTGCAAAGACCATAAAATGCTTTGTTTTTTGTTGCTCTGAAACCCTAAGCTCTTGAAAGCTGTTTTTGTCAGGTAATATGTGAAGTGGAAAAGAGAGCGCTACCTCGTTGCCTCCGGCCTCCAAAACATCACCGAGTTGGCCCCATTTGGCTACCCAGTTCTATTCTTCTATTTAGATCACCTTCCATATTTTATATTTTTCTAT